CTAATTTTCACTGCAGTGAATGAATTACTAAACATTTATTAAACATAAAGCTTATTTGATGTGTTTGGAATTTTTTACCAGTTTTTACTTGTTAAAAGAAACCTGCGCAGTCGCATTCAGTTACGAAGCTCATTTACAGTTAAGCATGTGGTGTATTGAACAAACGTTGCTCTTAAATAAAGCTGACCTGCTCAGTATTGCTGTGTGTTTAAATGGATCCTGACGTGTGTGAGATGATTGAGTTTGGACTGGTTTCGTGAGATCAGTACATGTGTGAGTTTCACTGAACACTGTGTGTTTGTTTTCTGAAGCTGTCGAACAAAAATAAACACATATGAATTATCCCAGACTTGTTTTGATTTATGATAGATTTATGTTTGTTATTTAACTACCGAGGAAACGCAAAGTAATTTTTTTCATTATTATTATTACAGAATTTTACAGTTATATTTCACATTTATAAGAGAACAGTTAGAATAGCTGAGTTTAACTTAAATGATTAAACATTAAAATATTTAAAGATATACTTTTATATTTAATACAATAAATATATTATAATATATGTTAAGTAATAAATGTAATACAAGTGCTTTATTTTACTATCAGAAACCATATATTTAATATTGTTATAACAGAAAACAACCTAGAATCTAAGTTATAGTATGAATTCTTATATTAACAATAAAACTTATCTTCCAAATGTCAACATTCATGTCCTGTGGAAGGACTTTTATTGTTTGCATTGTATGTTATCAAATTGACATTGTGTTTTATGATTAGTTGTCACAAGATTAAGAAAATATATGCATGCAGGGAATAGCATACTTAAAATAGGAACTAGTTGTTTCATAACTTTTCCTAATCTGACAACTGATTACAAAACAAGATGCTAGTTTGATAGCATAAAGATACAAACTTTTGAAGTGCATCAAAACCTTTCATCAAAGTTGTCCTAAAACCAAAACAATACCCGTTCTTGTCTTAGGACAACTTTGATGAGCTTTTTTTTGATCCACTTCAAATGTTGACTACTGTATATCTGACGGTAAAAGCATGATGTAACTTCAACAACAAAGACACTCTTCTTCAGTCATATTTACATATTCATCTGACCGCTCTCCAACTGCTCATTAAATATTCATTAGCCGGCTCCATTCACTCGAGCGTCCTGGGCGGGGTTTACTCAGAGGGGCGGGTCAAATGCAAATGAGCGAAGCGCCTCTGCTCATCGACGTACAATCAGGCCACGCTCAAGCGAGCGCTCTGATTGGTCGACAGCGCCACAGCCGAGCGCTGTTTGCGAATGACGTCCGTGCCGGAGCGCAAGATGGCCGCGTTCGGTCGGTAAGCGCTCGAGTGACACCGGAACCGAGCGAACCGAGTCCGTGATTCCGAGAGGCGAGCAACGCGACGGAGACACGCGAGGATGGACGCCGCCGAGTTCATGGAGACTATGGACCCGAGCCTGTCCGAGCTGGGCGACGAGTTCACGCTGGGAGACATCGACGGTGAGCGAGGAAGAAGATGATGATGATGCTCATAAATAAATAAACAACACCGATATGCTGCCTGTGTGTTTATGATACTGCAGATCACGGAGCGTGTTTGATCTGATCAGAGTTCGGTGTAGCTATAGAAGTCATAATACACTGTTATTATGAATATTAACTCATAATACATTCAGTAATCAGCTTCAGCTTAGAGAGTTAAGTGTAGTGTGTTATAAGTAGAGAAACTAGAGTAGGTTTAGTGTGAACTGATTGTCATGATGACACACTTCTGTCCGCTAGCATGTGATTCATCACTGGTATTAATTATCATAAGTGTGTCAGTTTCAACCCACTGTAATAAATGTAGCGTAATAACACCGGTGTTTATATTGTTAGTGTTGTTATTGGTGTCTTTATTGTTGTTATTAGTGCTATTTAGTGGAATTGTTGTTAGCGTTGTTATTAGTGGTCGCATTATTGGTGTTATTAGTAGTGTTGGTGTTGTGTTATTAGTGTTGTTATTGATTTTGTTGTGCTATTGGCGTTATTGGTGTCTTAGTAGTGTTATTTGTGCTGTTATTGTTAGTCAGAGTGTTGTTGTTATTGGTGTTGTTAGAGTTTTAGTAGTGTTAATAGTGTTGTTATTGGTGTTACTAATGTTATCGGTGTTATTGTTAGTCTGAGTGTTGTTGTTATTGGTGTTTTTAGTAGTGTTAATAGTGTTGTGGGTGTTACTAATGTTATTGGTGTTATTGTTAGTCTGAGTGTTGTTGCTATTGGTGTTTTTAGTAGTGTTAATAGTGTTGTTATTGGTGTTACTAATGTTATTGGTGTTATTGTTAGTCTAAGTGTTGTTGCTATTGGTGTTTTTAGTAGTGTTATTTTTGCTGTTATTGGTGTTTCTAATGTTATTGGTATTATTGTTAGTCTGAGTGTTGTTGGTATTGGTGTTATTAGAGTTTTAGTAGTTTTAATAGTGTTGTTATTGGTGTTTCTAATGTTATTGGTATTATTGTTAGTCTGAGTGTTGTTGGTATTGGTGTTCATAGTGTTGTTGTTGTGAGCGGTTGTGTCAGTCGTACAGCAGCTCAAACACACATGCTGACGGTCCGCCAGTCGTCAGATGAAATCTCAATAATTCAGACAAACACAAACCAGAGAGCTGTGATCGATCTGTGACCAATCAGTCAATGAAGCCGCACTGATCCGTTCTGTGTCTCACACTGATTCTCTCTGTCAACACATGAGAGCTACACACAGACAGACAGTTATTCTAGTGATGTCCAACCCACCATCTCATATAGAATGCAATGATGAGTACGGGATTTTGCATTTGTAATAAAGAGTAATGAAGCATTGTACACTGGATCAAGGCTCGTTAAGATAATAACCATAATAACCATAATCAAACACAGTTAGGAAGGTAGCTTCTACAAGTTTATTTTTGGCATCAAAACTACAATTATTTGTGTTATAATTTTTAAGTGTTTATAAATTAGAGTCATGTGGGATTCTCCTGCTCCATCAGCTCAGATCCTGCAGGACTGAGAGTCTGGCGTTGATCTGCAGCAGTGTGATGATCGTGTGCGTTTGACCGTCTGATGATCCTCCGCTCTTCTGGAAGATTCTGGATCTCCAACTGTGAAGAGCACGTTACATAACGAGCATTAGCAGCTCATCAGTGTGTGTGTGTGTGTGTCAGATCTGAAACTGATCTTCATTATTCAGTCATATCTGAATCAGGTTTAAGATGTGTTTTCCTGCGTTTTCGTGGTGAAATAGGTCACTGTCGTGGCATTACTGGTTGGTTTGGTCCAGTGCGAGCGGACATTGGTTTCATCTGCCGCAGGTGTGACTGTATCAGTCATTATTACTGTAATTACACCATAAACGGTTTAAGATGTGTTTTCCTGCGTTTTCGTGGTGAAATAGGTCACTGTCGTGGCATTACTGGTTGGTTTGGTCCAGTGCGAGCGGACATTGGTTTCATCTGCCGCAGGTGTGACTGTATCAGTCATTATTACTGTAATTACACCATAAACCAGTCAAACCGACACACCGGTGTCTGATACGAGTGTGTGTTATCAGTCTTTATCTCTCAGCTCTGACCTTCATCTCATTATCACAGGTCAAAAGGTCAGGGTCAGGACTGTGTTATTTGAACTTTTTGAACTCTGATTGCTGCTGTTTTGAAGGTCAGTGTGTTTGATTGACCCTGACGGGATCTGCTCATCAACACACTGCTGGAATTATTAATCTCGGTCATATTCAGACGTTAATCTTTACATCTGTGTGTGTTTGTGTGTGTCATTCAGAGATGCTGCAGTTCGTCAGTAATCAGGCGGATTTCCCGGATCTCTTTGAGGATCAGATGGGGGGCGGTGCTGTGGCTCCCGTGAAGCCCCTCCCACAGATGGCCCCCAGCGCCATACTGATGCCCCCACACACACCCGTACAGACCAGCAGCCAGACGCAGATGCAGATGCAAACACAGACACGCACACCACCGCTGCTGCAGCCGCGACCGCAGCCCATCACACAGGTGAGCCTGACCACACCCCTTTACAAATGACATCACCTCACATTGACACGCCCCTCACTCTCTGACCACACCCCCTTACACTCTAAACACTAATCATCACACACAGACGATCACACAGGTGAGCCTGACCACACCCTTGACATGACAACACCTCACATTGACACGCCCCTCACTCTCTGACCACACCTCCTTACACTCTAAACACTAATCATTACACACAGACAATCACACAGGTGAGCCTGACCACCACAGCAAATCACACGGGTAAACATGACCACACCCCTCACTCTCTGACCACACCCCCTTACACTCTAAACACTAATCATTACACACAGACAATCACACAGGTGAGCCTGACCACACCCCTAACACGACAACACCTCACATTGACACGCCCTCACTCTCTGACCACACACCTTACACATGACCACACCTCACATTGACACGCCCCTCACTTTCTGACCACACCTCCTTACACTCTAAACACAAATCATCACACACAGCCAATCACACGGGTAAGCCTGACCACACCCCTCACTCTCTGACCACACCCCTTTTCAAATGAAACACTAATCATTACACACAGACACTCTCTGACCACCCCCCTTTACAAATGACATCACCTCACATTGACACGCCCCTCACTCTCTGACCACACCTCCTTACACTCTAAACACAAATCATCACACACAGCCAATCACACGGGTAAGCCTGACTACACCCCTCACTCTGACCACACCCTTTTACAAATGACATCACCTCACATTGACACGCCCCTCACTCCCTGACCACACCTCCTTACATTCTAAACACAAATCATCACACACAGCCAATCACACGGGTAAGCCTGACCACACCCTTCACTCTCTGACCACACCCCTTACACATGAGAACACCTCGCATTGACACGCCCCTCACTCTCTGACCACAATTTGTAGACGTCATCAAAGTTGTCCTCACACACAGCCAATCACACGGGTAAGCCTGACCACACCCCTTACACATGACAACACCTCACACTGACACGCCCTCACTCTGACCACACCCCCTTACACATGACAACACCTCACACTGACACGCCCTCACTCTGACCACACCCCTTACACATGACAACACCTCACACTGACAGGCCCTTACTCTCTGACCACACCCCCTTACACTCTAAACACAAATCATCACACACGACTACAGCCAATCACACCCCCGTTACACTCTAAACACCAAACATCACACACGACTACAGCCAATCACACAGGTGAGCCTGACCACACCCCTTACACATGACAACACCTCACACTGACACGCCTCTCACTCTCTGACCACACCTCCTTACACTCTAAACACAAATCATCATATACAGTCGATCACTCAAGTAAACCTGACCACACCCTCTCACTCCCTGACCACACCCCCTTAAACATGACAATACCTCACATTGACACGCCCCTCACTCTCTGACCACACCCCCTTACATGTGACCACACCCCCTCACATTCTGACCACACCTAATTTTTACGTCTGGATTCTGTGATTTCTCCTGTGTTTTGATTTGACTCAGTCACTCCTCACGCCATGCTCTGATTGGCTGTCCGCAGGTGCAGACGCAGGCGTTCCCCATGCAGACGCTGGCGCATCCGCAGACGGTGATGATCGCGCCGACCGCCACGCCGACACACAGATTCATACAGAACCAGGTGATCTGCCAGCAGAACCCCGGCGCCGGCTTCCAGGGTGAGGACTCGCACACACACTCACTATATATACACACACACACACACACGCTCTCACGCAGCTGTGTCTCTCTCAGTCCTCCAGCCGCAGATGCAGAGCATCATGACGTCACCGCAGGTCCAGCAGATGACCATCCAGCACCAGCGGCTGCTGACTCCATCCGGTCAGACCTTCCAGACGCTGTCCACCGCGCCGGTCCACACCGTATCGCAGCAGGTGCCTGTACGTCTCACACACACGCTCACTGCAGTCTGTCATTAGTGTGGCGTATGATGTCTTGTGTGACGCTGCGCTCTGATTGGCCGTCAGGTGCTGCTGCACCAGCCGCAGATCCTGAAGACGGACTCTCTGGTTCTGACCACACTCAAACCGGACGGGACGCAGGTGCTGTCGACTGTCCAGAACACGCCGGGCATCACCACGCTCACGGCACCCATCCAGACCACCGCACTGCAGGTTCCTGTACGTCACTCACACACACTACAGTCGGGATACCCTGACAGAAACATCATAGAGCAGTTTCATTAACTAATGCAGAGTTGGGGAAAATGTGTGATTTTCTGACAAATATTAAACTGAAAGAGCTCATATAGTTGCTTTTATTTTTTAGATGGTTAAAAATGTTAAATATTATCTATCTATCTATCTATCTATCTATCTATCTATCTATCTATCGTCTGACTATTTCTATCTATCTATCTCTCTAGAACATCTAAGCATTTAATGAAATTTAATAGTAAAATGTTATATTAAAAGAAATTATTTTTTAACAACATAAGCTGCAATGGCTGTTTTGAGTAGACATTAAAATAATCATAATAACAAACATCAATGAGTAAAATGACGTACCATTATTTAACTATTATTATTAATGTTTTATTTGTTAGGGACAGATACAATAAACATAGATGAAAATGTAAAAAACAATCATCCCATGCATGTACCATAGTGCTTGTAGCCGAAGCTAATTTGCAACACTTGTCCCTAGGAGGGCTTTTATAAATTACAATTACAATAAACAAGTAGTACACAAATTTATAATATAAATGCACTAAACATGACAACAGGTTTGTTGATGTATCAACCAAGATTTCGTGGCTTTCTTAAAATAATTAAAATTTACAGTAGATTTTAAATAGTCAGGCAATGAATTCCAAAATTTTACACCTTTCACTGAGAGAACAGTCTGAGCAAATG